ACATACATACATACATACATACATACATACATACATACATACATACATACATACACACATACACACATACACACATACACACACACACACACACATACACACATACACACATACACACATACATACATACATACATACATACATACGTACATACATACATACATACATACATACATACATACATAGGGGCTCTCGTTGCCTAGTGGTTAAGGTGTTCGCCTCTCATCCAAAGGTCCCGCGTTAAAATTCGGATAGCGACGGAACAATTTTCTTGTCTAAAATTGTCTCCTTTCACCTCCTTTCCAACTCTTAAGCAATGTTCTATCGTCTTCACTTTCTGCCCCAACCCACTCACCTCCTTTGGACTCCTGACTTTTTCGGTAGCCTTTCTATTGCAACTCCTTGGCTGCTTCTTACTGCTGTCTTTCAGCCACACCCCTAGTGTTCTGGTAGGAAAGATCTACACCTAGCCTTCTCGGACAAGGGCGAAAAATCTCGGAGGTCCCGGGTGCAAGTTGCGCACGTTAAAGATCCCTTGGTGGTCTAAAACCGGTAAGAGTAGGCTTCGGCAGCCACCCGGGCAAAATTCAAAATTTCATACCAACTGAAAATGTTTTATGAGTCCCTCGCGCTCATATGACCTTACGCAGTTGCTAGCGCCGTAAAACACTAACAAAAAAACCCCAAAACAACCCCCCCCCCCACAACAACAACAACCCCACAACAACAACAACCAACAACCTACATAAACACATATTTAGATAGCTACAGCTCCTACACAACAGCCAACTGAGTGACGTTAACACATGACCACACTAAATGATGCCTCACAATTTCCTCCCTCAGGTCTTCAACACTGTGCACGGCTCTACAGGCAGCCACACGATGGTCCCCAAACTCTACGTCCTCGTGCTCGTTATCACTATAGGCGGTGGTCTCAGCCAGACCGCCGACATGGACTACGCTACTCAACATGAGTCCTCACCTCACAAAGAGACATCCCTAAAGGAAAACCTAATCGCCGAGCAGGCAGACAGCGACGACCCCACTGATGGAAACCAAAGCAACAACACTGCGTTGTTCGAGCAAATCCTAAAGTCAGTACCCGAAACGTGCCAGAACAGATTCCACCTTTGTGGTTCTCTAAATCCAGCATCCAAAACACTCATCGAACAAGGCCAGTTCTGTACAGTACTGTCAAATCCTTTGGCCAAACGGTGTCTTGTTAGTATGGGTCCCTGCACAGATGAAGATTTCAAATCCGTCAAGACACAGTCCTGTTCAGAAGAACATAATTCTCCATCTCCTACCCAACAGAGCCAAACCCCTGAGCAAGAGACACAAGCACTTGCTCAACAAACCCAGAGCCCCGATCAAGGCAACAACACATTAATCAACAACTTACTTAGCACACGATCTCAGGAGTGTCAGAATACGTTCAGGGTGTGTGGATCTCAACAAACCGCTGCCAAAGAGCTCAGGGAAAAGGGAGAATACTGTAAAGCCTTATCTGACCCAAATGCTAAATTTTGTCTTGTGGACATAGGCGGCTGCACGGAGGATGACCTTGCATTCGCCAAGAAAGCAGTATGTACAGAACATGTTTCACCATCCACCACTCCACAAACACAGAGCCCCAGCCAAAACAACACTGCGTTGTTCGAGCAAATCCTAAAGTCAGTACCCGAAACGTGCCAGAACACGTTCCACAGTTGCGGCTCTCTAAATCCAGCATCCAAAACACTCATCGAACAAGGCCAGTTCTGTACAGTACTGTCAAATCCTTTGGCAAAACTGTGTCTTGTTAATATGGGTCCCTGCTCAGATGAAGATTTCCAATCCGTCAAGACACAGTCATGCTCTAAAGAAAATGTTCCTTCATCCTCTACCCAAAAACCCCAAGCGCCTACCCAACAGACACAAGCACCTACCCAACAGACACAAGCACCCACCCAAAAGACACAAGCATCTACCCCACAAACGCAGAATCCCAACGAAGGTATCAAGTTATTCGATCGCATACTTAGTCCATTACCCAAAGCGTGTCAAGACTCGTTTCATACTTGCGGTTCTTTGAATCCTGAAAGTACAAAACTCATAGAACAAGGCCAGTACTGCACAGTATTATCAAATCCTTTGGCAAAACTTTGTCTTGTAGATGTGGGCAGTTGCACAGAGAAAAACTTTGAATATGCAAAGGGGGAAGCTTGCAAACCGCGTAAACCATCACTCGACCAAGTCTTTGCTAAGGAGTCGCAGGCATGCCAAAAAACCGTCCACAGTTGTTCATCTCCACAGTCACCCGCTAAGGCGTCTTTGGAACAGGACAACAAGTGTGAAGGACTCAAGTCCCCCTCAGCCAAAAAGTGTCTCGTTGACCAAGGAAACTGCTCACAGAAAGACTACCAGGATGTATTGAATAAGATGTGCACAAACACACGGACCCAGAAACCGGCCCCGACGACGTACAAGCCGAGTCGCCAGGAGAGAGTCATGGGCCACAACCCGTTGACCAGCGCCGTGCACCGGCTAAAGGGAGACTGCCAGAAGAGCTTCTGGGAATGCCTCAAAGTGCTGCCCACAGTGCGGTACCTGGTGAACCAGAAGAACTTCTGCCGCGCCATGCACCAGACCTCGGCCATGCTCTGCATGGTGGCCCTCGGGGACTGTCGGGAGATGGACATCGACCAGCTCAGGGCCGCCACCTGTAAAGGAGTGCCCATTGCTAATATTAACAATGATGACAACACGGCTCAGACGACAAGAGCTGCTGTGGGGACCATGGTCCTTGCGATTCTTGTGCAACTCTTCTGATTGTCAAAAAACAAACAAACAACCCAGTCCAGACAAAAAGACGGTGCTGTAGTCCAGACAAAAAGACGGTGCTGTAGTCCAGACAAAAAGACGTTGCTGTAGTCCAGACAAAAAGACGTCGCTGTAGTCCAGACAAAAAGACGTTGCTGTAGTCCAGACAAAATGACGTTGCTGTAGTCCAGACAAAAAGACGTTGCTATGAGCCGCCAGGTGGTATAGAGAAAAGAACTGTTTTAAATACTCAAAACCACGACTGTCTATATAACCAATCACCGATCCATCTTCCTACCGAGTTTCTTGCTTCCGTAACCTCACTTTCAACCCTCTTCCATCTATATATTATACGTGTATATATAAATATATATGTATACATA